AAACTTTTGTATATAACATGTGTTCGATTTTTGTGTAATATTTTTTTGGTTGATCTACTCATATAAGAAATGATCTACATTCACCCTACCCTTAATCATTGTTTTATTTATTCTGTATTTTAAGCAATACTTCAAGCAATGTATGAATGTAGACCTTTGGTTTCTAAATAATTGATCAGTAATTTAACTGTCAAGATGAAAAAAATAAAATTAATGCTATTTCAGTATTTATTTCAGTATTAGTATTATAGGGAATAATCTTTTCAAAAGATTTATAGACTTTGTCTTCAACACGAAATTTAAATTGTGATATAAATAGTTCTTTAAGATCCAAATTTCCTTTAGCTATAATCCTATATCACATAAATCATAACAGAAATGTAAATAAAAAATAAAAATAACACACCTTTATTTAATGTAATTAAGCCAAGTAACCATGTTTCTATTTCAGATAAAGGTTGTGGTTGCTTTAAATAAGCATCAATAAGAAGACTTTCTAATGAAATAACTAGTTCTGGAAGTTGCATCTCATCTGCAGCTATGAAAATTCTAAAATATTAATTTTATTATAACAAACTGTAGCAGGGACTTCATAAGTATAAATATAGCTGTAAAATTAATATTGCGTTATCTTTTGTAAATTATATTTTATTCAAGAAATTTTGCCATAAGTAATACTTAACTTACTCGAAAATTAAATGAAAGATTTCTAAAGAAATATCTTCTTTATAAAGAATAATGATCCCATCAGAGTTTTTGTGAATCAATTGACTGGACAGTACCATTTTAAAATAACTGCATCGATATTTAAAATTGATATTTAAAATTGATTAATGGACTTTAAACACTTTACGATTCTATTCATAGCCTGCAATTAGGTGCATGTCAATAGCATCGCGATTTTGATTTTGAATAATAGACTTTTCAACTGATGAAAAGTCATTTTTATCCACTATTTAGTTATTATTAGAGGATGTAAAAAATGGTGTGATCATTGAAATTCTAAAAGTAAAGAGTACTGTATATATATCTGTACATATATATATATTTATAATTAATTAAAACTTAATGCAGAATTTCATATATGGTGTTACAATATATTGCATATGAAATTTGAAAAATAGTAATTGTTAAGGGTAAAAGCCCCTAGCTGTTCTACAAAATTTTTTTCACCCCTTGTAATAACAACCAATCAAATTTCAGAATCAGGTGTAATATGAAAATCGAGATGAAGCAAAAAAACAAGAATAGCTCTAAATTTTAATAAGAAAACCACCTTCTATAGTCTAATGAAAAATGTTTCTTGTAAAATTTTATTTGTAGACGTCATATTATTCTAGTCCTAACCTTAACTTTAATGCAGTTTTCTTAACTTTAATTTTGCGTATAACTTTTTACTTAGAAAACAAAACACATTTGTTTTGACTATCACATTACACCTGATCCTGAAATTTGATTAGTCGTTATTACAAGAGGTGGAAAAAATTTTGTGAGACAACTACCTTAAATAGGGAAATTATGATGCACATAAGGGTTGCTCAAATAAAAATTTACAGAAAAAATATATTTATTGAAATTTATTGAAATAGATTACTCATCGAATTGGCTATCTGCCAATATAAAATAAAATTGATTTTTAAAAAAAAAAATTTGAAATATGAGCTTTCAAAATCTTTTCAAAAAATGCTATAATTTTTACATTTAGAGGGTATTATAACACATATTGGATATGTCAAATTAATGTCAAAAATTATAGTAATACTATATAATATATATACAAATAATTATAGCATAACTATATATGATTATTTTTTCTCTTTTTATATTACCTTTCTTGATCAGCCTGTTTATAAGCTGCCTTCTCTTTTCTGTTTTGTACTTTCTGCTTTGTTCTTTGCTAACTTGTTTATTTTTTTAGCATTTGTAAATATTCTTCATTAGTAAATAGCTAAGCAAAGAAAAGTTTTTTCTTCTCTTTAGTTAATTAGATACTGACTCATTTGCCTGCATTAGAACTTGAGAAGTAGAATACTTAAAGGCTAGTTTTAATGTATAGGTATTAAGATTTTTAAAGTTCAAGTTCTTCTTTTAGTAGCATATTTTCTCTTTTTAAAACATAGATTTTTGTTTTTAATAATTCATTCTCTTCAGTAATACTAGCATATATAAAATTGCTTAAAGATGATAGAGAAGACATTGAAGATATTAAATATAAAGATATTGAAGAAGAAGATGGTATTGAAGAAAACAGTGTTGAAAAAAACAGTGGCAAAGAAGACAGTATTGAAAAAAATAGTGATAAAGAAGACAGTATATAAGGATAATCAGATTGTTGAGTAAATAAAGTTGAAATATTAATTCTTTCAGTAGATAAAGAAGGATTAAAATAATAGAAGCTAATAGTATTAGAATTAAAGATTCAAATTCCTGTAGCTTTGAAAGCATTAGCTATTGTTGTAGAAGTATAAGTTTTAATAAACAAAGGACCAAACATTTTAGCAAATGTGTGCTTAGTTACCAACTTGCCAGTTATATGATAAAATTGTTTGTAATTTTTATTGTATTTAGTTTTGAGTTTTGCAAAAGATAGTTCAGATAGCTGAAGAATATGAGTTGTATAGAGTGGAAGTGTATATAACAAAATACTATTTTTTATAACAAAAATTAATGCTTATATAATTTATATAGTTGCTATAATCATCTAGCATTAAAAGAATAGGCTGAGAAAAAAGAATAGGACTTATAAAGTATTCAATATGCATTTGTAAGAGTCTTTCATGCATATATCCCAAGTTATTAAACCTCTAATTAACCAGAAATTGCATGAATATCTTGGAATATAATTAATAAAAAGATATAATTACCAGCAGCTAAAATTATCTGTATTACAGAAATGTGATCATGCAAGTTATTATAAGCTACTTAATAAATTTAAGGGTAGGGTATTTTATGATTTTAGGATCATGTAAATTAACCAATCAGAATGCTTAATTTTGCTCATTAATGGGCAAGTTTGCCCATTGATAGGCAAAATCGAGCATTCTGGTTGGTTAATTATGTGACCCTAAAATCATGAGATATCCTACCCTTAATAGAAACCTTTGGTGGTAATAATTTTTTGAATTCTGGAAATATAATAAAGCCAGTTTTATTTATATTTCAAATATAATCTGAGATAAATAAGTTTTCTTGAATTATTTTATTGAATTTATTAAAATGATCTTTGATAATTATTGGATTAGCTTTTTGCACACATGTCTCTAACAAGGCTTGAGGCATTCAAAAAGATAGGTTAGAATATTTTTTTATAAAATATATCTACTAAGCCTTACAGATCTATTATTTTTAAAAGAGTAATTATGGCTATTATTATTTATAATATTCATCATACAGTGGTTGACCTTGTAAGACTAAATCTAATCTTTGTATATTTATACAATAACCCACCTAATTGTTCTTTTTCATAGCTACTTAAAACTGTTGCAAGGCCAGAATAGTTAGATATACTATTGTTTTTAAATGCATATCTTAGAGTTATTTCTGCAAGACTAAATTTTGATGCAGCTACTTTAAGAGCTGAGTTTATAGCATTTTTATATGTAGTTTAAGTAACTTTTTATTTTAAATTATTAATAAGACTTTTAGTATAATTTTAGAAGAATTTGATAATTGGTTTATTTTTTTTTATTTTTTAAATTATGAACTTACATCAATTTATATTTTTAATCTGCTTATAGAATGATATTTCATTATTAAAAATCATAATTGTATGATTGTAGTTGCAATTGTTTGCAATTATGACTAGTTATTTTATAAATAATCACTATAGTTATTTTTTATACAATTGTAATTGTGTTATAATGCAATTATGGTTATAATTATATACAATTATAATTATAATCATATTTGTATACAATTATAATTATAGTTATGATTATTTACAATTATAACTTTGGATAAAATTATATTAACTAAATTTGTAATTAAAGGCATAGTTAATAAATTATTTTAACTAAATTTGTAATCAACCAAAGGTATTCTTCAAATATAAATAAAATAATTTTTATATAATTTTTGTTTAAATATAAAAAATTTAAAACATTTAATATGTCATATCATTTCAATTTGCAAAGTGAAGATTTAAATAATCTGATTTTAAACCTTACAAATGATTTAATAAAAAACACTTATAATACAGCTAATTTTAAAAAATAGATGCACTATATGCTTTCATTTCTTTATAAATAATTAAAAAGATCTGTATAATATTATTTTAAACTTATTATTATGGATGTAATTATTAGTACAATTGATAATCATTGTGCTCATTAGAAACTATACTTGAATTAAAGATTTTATTATTTTTTAAGAAGTTGTTTATTATTTTAAAGATTTAGTAAAGATAGACTATAATCTATTAATATGCAAAAGATTTAGTAAAGCTATAAGTGATGTTTTTGATCAAAAAATAAATATTGATTTATAATTAAAGGTTTTGAATTATATAAATTTGCTAAATTGTTTTTTACAATAGAAGAATTTAGTTTTTATTTTAAAAAATTTTATAACAACTGTCATTATTCACATAAAAATAAGGAACTTAGTATATATAGTTGAATTTTTTATTTTCTTAATATCTAACTTTACAAAAAATTAAATATTCATTAATTCATTTTATATAGTATGTATATATAAAAAATTGATTAATAATTACATGATATATATATTCTAACTTTATTAGTTAGGTTAGATCAGATTTTATAAGTTGGTGCTAAAAATCTTAAAAATTTATGTTTTTTGATTATTACTTGAATACTAATACTTCAAATAAAACAAGTTTCATATCTTTTAATTCATCTCAGTAAGAAGAATCAAATAATACCAAAATGCTCAATTCTGATCAATGTATAATAAAATATTATCAAAAAATATAAGTGTATTATAATATTCACCTGCATCATAATTGTGTAATGTTAATATGTGAAATTATAAAAAAGAAATTACTAAAGAATATTTTTAGAGAAGTTCTATTTTGATTGGATCAAAATAACATCAGAAAAATTTTAGAGTTAGTGCAGTCCAGAATTATGTTGATGCAAGCCATGATTTTTAATATAAAACCTGGCCAGCATTAGCATAATTCTTGCTCGCATTTTAACCTAAGATTCTAGGAGGTTGTCATTTTGAACTGGATCAAAATAGAATTTCCTATATTTTTATGCTAAACTTTTTTCATTGCATGTAATTTCATAATTTTTTCTTACATGCCTGATAAAAGATTCCTACAAAATCAGATCAACTATATACTATACCCAGATGTGACTTACAGAATTTGCAATAATAAAATATCAGTTTATTCAAATATTCAAACTGCCTGTTAGAAATGAAAAATACATGTGCTTTTTAAAATTCACCTTTTAATAATATACACTCCCAACTATGTATTATACCTAGGGTTTATTATAGGTTTAAAAATCAGTAGAATTTAAGAGACCTGGGTCTTTTATGATAATTATTTTTTCAATAG